TTCCCGCCGCGAAGGGGAGGCGACAGCAGGGCAGCGCGGGTAGGCGACAGGCCGCGGCGTCCTGCGGCTGGTTCAGTCAGACGGCAGGTGTTCGTTGCCCTCTCCGGGCGCGGGGCAGGCTCTGCAGCTGCTCCAGAAACGAGCCGGAATTGGGCCGGTCCGGTGGTCAAGGGGAAGGGCCCCGCTTTTTCCGTGCGTCTCTCAAGAGGCGTTTTAAGCGACACGTTTGCGCGCGCTCTGAGCATCAGCTACCAGAGGAGCTGATCCTCCTCTTCCGCGGACGGCCAGCTCTTATCGCCAGCAGCTGGCAGTCACCGCTGCTGGCTGCCTTAGAGGTACTGCTCGTGTTCTCGTATCCTTACGGTTACTGATTTTGCTTTACCTGCTCTCACTTCTACGGCCCCATCGGACAAGATCTGAGAGCCAACCGTAGTTAACGCTACATGATCTCTGGAAAAACAGGTATTTTATTTTAACCTCCCCCCACCCCCGAGCAGTTTACTGTTTTATCACATTATGAAAAGGCATCAGGACAGAAATAGGTATCTTCCTAATTTAACGCTACAAGGACAGGCTTCAGTATTTCACAGCCAAACTTACCTTAAACATCTAGCCACTCCTTACAGCCCCATCTATCCCAAGATTAAGGAAACACCTATACGTTAGAGGAACGCAACAGTTCATTCACCCCGTACTATTTTCTCCAGGAAGGTGCCTCCACATATTCCCTAGGCCCAGCGCAGTATCGCGGCTGTAGAACACAGCCCCCCTGGAGTTGTGCTGGCGTTTCTCTATTTCACATCCTATAAAATGAGGTGATACCTATTTGCCATTACTGACGCTGTCTGAGGAAAAGCTCTAAGAAAGTCTAACTCATAAAATTGAAACGTGAATTTCATCACAGCTTACAAGCAGCCTGAGCTGTGAAGCTGCAGTTCTCTTGAAATATATCCTGTAAGAGTTAACTCCAAACAGAAACATAAAAACAGATTTTACCAAAAAACTATGAACTACAAACTTGTCAAAATTAGAGGATTTTAACACACTGCTGTATATGGAAACTAGAATATTGAAGTCATACAGCTTATGAGACTTTAAGAATAAAAGACAACTGATTTTTCCCTTGACGTTAAAATTTCTTGTGGCTTAATTCCCATTCTGATCTTTAAGTCCACTTGCTTGTGAAGATATAGCTGTTGGATAATTCCCTGACAGTACTAGGTTATCAAGCTTATCTATCAAAAGACCAAGATAAAAAGTAATGGTGTCTATGATCATAAAAACCAAGCACAGAAAAGCGACACATGAAGAGAAACAAGATTACTTATTTCTTGCAAGAGTCATTGCCATTATTGTATATATTGCTGTCAATATATATACATGGGTTTACCACTGCAACCATCCAAAATTCCCTACAATTTCAAATATTTCATAGTAATAATATGTACGCAGCTTTCTCTTTCTCACTTAATTAAATTCAAATGTTTTAGGAAAGATTTCCTTCAGCCTTCAACCCCAATCTTGCAGATACGTGCATTCATATTTGAGAGGAGTGCCATTATGTGGAATCTAGAGATGTGTACATGTTCACAGCTACAAACAAAGCAGTTTCCCCATCTCTTCTGCGCTAAAGCATCTACCAAATTAAAAACTAATACCCATGAATAAGACCAATTGGCAAAGTTCACACAGGAACCAGCAAAGACTCTCATTTATGTAAGACACAGAAAAATTGAAAAGCCCAGAGAAACATTAATCTGCTTCTAAGCAAACATGAGAACTTTCAGAGATAAAATGGGGGAAGCTGAATACCGAAACTAGGGTATTGATGCAACAGAGCATCAGAAATATTGTTGGACGTGACGCCATACTTGGGGAACACCAGTAATCAGTGAGACGCTTATACGAAGCATTGCTTATAAAGGGTAGACAAAGAAAATATATACTCAATAAGGTTTATAGTCAAATTAGTTGAATAAGTTAACTCTGTCTACGAGTAATACCGAATACTTATGAACTGAAATTCTGGGCCTAAATTGGAAGAGCACTGGATTAAGACTGCACTGTTGTGATAACACCAGGGACCGGGAGATGCCAAGATCAGAAAGGCTGAAAGAGCAGAGAAAAACAGTAACATGAGACTCCTGCTATCCCCACATAGATTTATTAAGTGTCACAGTAGGGTATGATACTAAGGTTAAATGTTTAGACACTACAAAAAACTGCCCTGCCTTATACTCGTCCTCTGACACCTGTTCTGGATCTTAGCTGAAGACAGGACACTGGATTAGGTGAACCTTTCATCTCAGCCAGTATCATTCACTTACTCACCTTCACCTGGCAGAACTGTTTAGAGAAAAATAAAAGTACGTTTTTATTCAGAAATCAGGACTTTGAACATACCAAATCACTCCGAGGCTAAGTCAGTTGCTGCTAGTGATTTAATGAAACGAGCTCCAGCACAGGTTTGTACAAACCAGGCTCTGTGCAGACGGACTTCTGGCATCTAGGTGTTCTAGACTGACTCTTCTAGGTCCTTTTCTTCTGTAGAAAAACGCTGCTCTAAATTACAGACCCACAGAAAAGTACCAATAAACCTAGAGGAAAAAGGTGGTAACAGGATGTAGGAGGTAACCATCACTTTCGGAGTTACTGGTGGCAGGTGTAACAACGCTCTGATGGTGCTATGCATTAGACGGTTCTCTGCTACCCCTCTGAGCACGTCCACCAAGCCTCCCATCCTCCTTCTAGGTGCCTGCTATTTCCTCACCCTGCAGTTTTTCATTTCCCCACCTCCACAGGCAGTTTATCTGCCAGCACATCCCTCGTACACGTGCTGCGCTCCCTTGGCGGGGCCGGGGCGCAGGACAGCTCAGAGCCCGCCGGGCCGGGCCCTGCACCGCAGCGGTGACAGCAG